CGGTTTTCATCCTTGCCGCGACGTGGAAGGAGCAAATCAGGAGAGGGACCTCAAATCAGCTGACGTGGGTCATGTGACAGTGCGTAGTTGATATCGGTTATATTTACCTTAAAATATAAAGCATCTTGGTGTAACTGTTGTTGTGAAGAGTCTAATATAAATACCACTGAATAAAAGTAGGATGGGATCTGGCACTTTCATGTTGAAATGTGCAATAGATGTTTTAAAGCTTGAAATTTGATCTTCAACATATTTTCTGCTGCAAATCACCAAAATCAAGCTTTAAAGTTATTAAATAGTTTTGAATTTTATGGGGAATAAGTTCCTAAGATAATCGGCCAAAATTTATTGAGATGCAAGTGATTTCTGGGGACACTGTAAATTAAATATTTTGCTGCACTTTGTTGATGGTCCTGACTCAGCCTCCTGCAGAGCCTTGCCCAGCTCAGAAGATGAGTTTGTGATTAAAATCTGAGTTGTAATTTGATTACTTCAATACAGATGGAAAGAAATCATTCAAACAACTATACTTTAGTGTACTTACTAACTTTTGAGCTTGCCTGTGCAGAGATGAGCTGCACACGTACTGCAAAATCATATTTCAACAAGTAACGCTTTAGTGGAAAACAAGCTGGGATCTAAGTTGCTCTTGCCTTTGATATGGGAGTCCCAAGAAGCAGAACCTGCAAACATCAGATTCATACTGTATAGCAAGCCACAGAATTGTTGTTTCACAAGGAAAAAAACCAAACAAAGAAAAACAAAACCAAACAACAACTTTATACACAGAAAGGTTTCCAGTAAACACAACGCATGCTGTTAATCATTCTGCAGTAAATAATGTGTACACGTAGCAGCCACACATCTGCACTGATCGTAACAGAATGATGTCCTTTGACCAATTTCCTTTTTCTTGAGTAAAATTTCATTCAGGTTTCAGTCGCTGAATGGTGAAGATGGTGGTGCTACACAAAACGTCTAAATGTAAACTACAATCACAATTTCAATGTAATATTTCAGATTTAACTAACAATTCGTTATGAACGACTGATTTCTGACTAGAAATCACATTTCTTTGAATGATTAAAGTGTACCAGAGTCGCTCGACTGCTGTTTCGATGAGTACCAA